GTGAAATCACTTCCTCTAAATGATGATGAATTGCAGCCAGAAACTTCTTTACTTTCTGATCAACTTTATCGGATCAATGGTCATGGATTTCTAACAACAAACAGTCAGCCTGCTGTAAATGCTGCACTATCAACAGATGAGAGATTTGGATGGGGTGGAGCTGGTGGTTATATTTACCAAAAAGCCTATTTAGAGTTTTTTATGCATAAAAAGAATGTGGACTTTCTTTTGGAAGTTTTAAATGACAACCCACGTGTGAACTACCACATTATAGATTCACATGTAAACAAATTTATTCATTTTTATTTTGTTTAATTTTTAATAATTTTAAAATTAACCTAGACCTAAGTTAAGTAAATGATTATTTTATATTTATTGATTCTATTTTTATTAAATTACTTTAAATACTATTTAAGTTTAATAATTATCTCAAGTTATTATTTCTTTTATTGTTGTTTTTATTATTAGTAATAGTAATTATTTATCATACTTATTAATTATTTTACTTCAATTAATGAAACTTGATGAAAAATTAAAAATGTTTTAAATTATTTTCTTATTTATTATTATAAAACAGTAAATTTATCTTGTATTGAATTTATTTTATATTGAATTTATTTTATTTTGAATTTATTTTATATTGAAATTTTTACTTCTTATGTAAAATATACACATTAACTTAGCGTTTCATAAGTGAAATGAACAACAAAAAAAAATTTAATATATTATTAAATAGAAAATTTTTTTGCTTAGGGCTGTTATGATAAAACAAATGCAGACAGGTACTCTCCCATTGCAGTCACATGGGGTGTTTTTCCTGGAAAAGAAATAATACAGCCTACTGTTGTTGATCCAATAAGTTTTAATTTTTGGAAGGTAAATTTTTAACTTCAATTTTTCTGAATTTATATTTAAAATTTTATCAACTCAATAAGCCGATTCGTTGAAAAAATTGATAAAATGCCTAGAGTTTTATCTAGTTTAATAATTTTTTAGTTATATGTATAATTTATTAAATAAATTCCAAATATCATAGGATGAAGCATTTTCTTTGTGGATTGAAAAATGGCAGTCATTATACGAACCAGAATCATTTTCTGCAAAAATTATACAAAGTATTTACAATGATTTTTATCTTGTGAACCTTGTTGACAATGATTACATCAAAGGTAACTTTCTGTTTCTTAAGAAAATAATTAAAACAGTTGAATTTTTTTTTTGATATAAAACTGATGTAAGTGAAGAATTTTTACAAGCAAATTAGTAATTATTATTATTTTTAAATTGCAAATTAGCAATTATTATTATTTTTAAATTGCAAAGTACCATTTATTATTATTATTTTTTGTAAATGTTTATTTTGAAATTATATAATATTTATAATTACATGTCTACGTAACAAATATTAAAAAATAAATTTTTTATTTTGTTTAAACGTAGTTTAAACAAAATAAAAACTAACTACAGAATATGCAATTTAATATAAAGTTTACTAAATATACTAAATATATATTTACTAAATATGTATATGCCATTTAATATAAAATTTACTAAATATATATTAACTAAAAGTTTAGTTGTTTCTTTAAATTTTCTTTTTTTAGTTTGATTTAGTAGGTGTTTGAATTTGCACAAACTTACACTTTTAATGAAAAATAGAAACAATATAGGCAATCACAAATTGATTAAAAAATAGATAAAATATAGGCAATCACAAAATGATTAATAAATTGTATAAACTCTTAAAATAACTAGTTAAAAGGAAAGTCGTAATTTAGTGACTAGAAATTGAAATGTGGTTGTATTGTTAATTATCTAATTTTATAAACAATAAAAACTAATCATGATTACTTCACACAAAGCATCTATATGGAGGTCTAATAAGTGTAATAATAACAAAAGACTTAAAAAGTCAATAAATTTACCAGACTACCGTTTTGATCATAATTACAAAATATTGTTCCAAAAATAAATTATAAGATGCGTATCAAAAGAAAATTTTATGTCGTTTAACTTTTATCATTGGTTCTTGTCATTCTTTCATTTATTTTGTATGTATTATCCTTCTATCAAATTTATGTTGTTTGTGTTGTCTTTTTTTTTTTTTTTTTTTTTGTTTTTTTGTTACTACTTGCCACTACAGGCGAGGAGGCTACTTAATAGTGATAAAACACAAACCTTGACGAACAAGGCTGCTGCGTAGAGAAACAAGTTGAGCGCGGTACTACCAGGGATGTGGTGGGGATCAAACTCAGAACCTCTCGCTTATGAAGCAAGTGTTTTACCACTACACCACTACCAAATCTTTCCATCAAGTTTCAAATGATCAAAAAATCAAAATTTGATGTTTTACAAAAAATATGCCTAAGGCTGCTAAAAATCATTCAAAAATATCAACGTGGCATCATGAATTTATAACATGATAATACTCCCACTATTATTTATTATTAATTATTATTTACCAAATAATTTACTTATTTATAATTTTACCAAAATTGTTATTTATTATAATACACTGATTAATAAGTATAGTTATTAATGAGTACTTTAACCTTTTAGTTTAAGTTTGGGCGTTTAAACATTTAAACTTTTTAATATTGTAATAAAAATAAGCCTCCGCAAAGCCAGTAGATCTGTCTGAGACAGATCTACCGGCTTTGCGGAGGCTTATTATTTTTATTAGAGACAGTCTCTAACCCCATTTTTTCTTCTCAACTGATTGTTAAAATAGACAACATTTTTTCTTCTTAATTGATCGTTGAAATAGACAAGAACTAAAGTAATTCTTTTTTTTCTTATTATATCTTTTCCTTATATTTTGTTTTTAATTTTTATTTTAGTTTTTAAATAGTGAATAACTAATTAATTAAACAATTTACGAATTCCTATGACATTAAATGACCTATTAATGATATATGTATTTAATGATATATGTATTTAAGGACCTAAAAGAATTCTGTCATTGATTGTTATTAACTTTCACACACTATATTTTTAACATGTTTATTTTTCAAAACTGAACGATATTATCTAAAACAATAGTTTACAATAAAAGCAAAGATCCAAGTCATGTCATTTTGTTAAAACACCTACATTTTTATTTGAAATTTGGTTTTCCTCATCTTGTTTGTATTTATATTTTTTGTTAACATGTTAACATTGTTTTTATGTTTGTTAATGATTAAAAAAATATAGGTTTTCAAAGTTTAAACTTTTTAGTATGTAAAATTGAAAGCTGATATAAATTAAGAAAGAAGTTTGAAGAACTATGTTGATGAAACTTTTATTTGTTACAAACATGAAGTGAGAAAAATAAATGAGTTAAACAATCAGAACAACTCTAGACTCTAGATAAGTGTTTTTACTAAATTATATGTATATATATATATACATATATATATATATATATATATATATATATATATATATATATATATATATATATATATATATATATATATATATATATATATATATATATATATATATATATATATACATATATATATATATATATATATATATATATATATATATATATATATATATATATATATATATATATATATACATATATATATATATATATATATATATATATATATATATATATATGTATATATATACATATATAATATATTTATATATATATATATATATATATATATATATATATATATATATATATATATATATATATATATATATATATATATATATATATATACATATATATATATAAATTTATTTATTTATTATATACATACAACAATTGTGTTGAATTGAGGGATCTATTTTAGGTCTTTTGCTTTTTCTTGTCTATATTAACGACATATTTTTATCTTCTCATATACTGAATTTTATTCTTTTTGCTGATGACACCCAAGCTTTCTACACCCACTCAAATATTAAAACTATTTTTAACACAATAAATTAGGAGCTTGAAGAGCTAAACGATTGGTTGAAGGCCAACAAACTTTCTTTGAACATTAAAAAAAGCAAATACATTCTTTTTACAAAACCATCAAAGTCAGACAAGTTACCATTAAAACTCCCAGTTATTTTAGTTGACAAAACAAAATTAAAAAAAGCATTTTCTGTGAAGTTTCTAGAAGTCGTTCTAGATGAACATATTAGCTGGAAAGAGCATATCATGTTATTAGAAAATAAAATATCTAAAAACATTGGGATTATGCATAAAACTAAGTATATTTTAAATAAAGTATGTCTAAAAAGTTTATTAATTTATTAATTTTAAATGTGTTGTTAAACAATAATTACTTGACCTCAACATTACTAAAACAATCTCTTATTTTTAATAAACTTTTACACGTCTTAAAATTGATTTTTTATTTCCACAATAGCTGGAAATGCTTATGGTTATATTTATAAAAATGCATTTAATTGTATTTAAATTTATAAAGGTACATTTATTAGGCTATTTTAATCATACAAGTTTTTATATTTATATTTATTTAAATATCTTATAACTTGTGTTTATCTTATATTTAATTGATATTTATTTTAAAATAAATTGAAATTAATGGGGCAAGATGATAAGACCATCGTCTTCTGCTTGCTCCAGTCAATTTGTTACGTTAACAATTTTGTAAAAAAAAACTTTATACTAACGAAAAAGATTATATATCTATATATCTATCTATTATAATTAATTTTAAGTTATTAAACTAGCATAAAAAACCATTAAATTTTGTTGCCAACAATCAAAAAATCAATTATACAATTGAAAATTGCATCAAAGCTGCTGTTAATTGTATTGCACCATACAATACTTTTATATCAAAAAAATACCTGTACAAAGGTTGGTGTTTAAGTGGTCTACACCATGCTGTATGCGCAACATCTCCATTCAAGTGAAAATTTTACAAGCACTCAAATAGTTACTAGATTTCAAAATACAAGTTTGTTTCCACTCTGCATCAATATAATTGATCAGTTGATGTTATTAATTGCTAGTACGTTTAAAACACCATCATCTAAATCTGAGTGAGGCTAAGCTTTGTCAAACATGCACATCAAAGCGTTATGTAAAAAGCACCATTTGGGGTTTTATTGCACCAAAACGAGCCCCACAAGCGACAACTCAACTCAATCTCCAGAACCTTACAACATTATCACAAAAATAATAAATTCTTTGTTTTGTGTTATTATTGGTTTTTATTTATTTAATATTATTAGTTCCTTTTTTTAATTAAGCGTTATTTTAATTACATATTGACTTGCATATTTCATTCTCCTCAATTATAAGGGTAGAATAAAACAGTTTTTTGTTTTATTCAATTAACAAAGTTTTTTAAAAAACTATAATAATAATAATAATAATAATATTAATAATATATATATATATATATATATATACATACATACATACATACATACATACATACATACATAGATATATATATATATATATATATATATATATATATATATATATATATATTATATATATATATATATATATATATATATATATATATATATATATATATATATATATATATATATATATATATATATATATATATAATGTAGACTACACAGGTAAAACTACAGATGTCACATTTTTCTCATTTTGAGAAAAATGAAATTTAGTGTTTAGTGACATAAGATATCTGTTTATTAATAATTTATTTAATTAAAAGTATATTTTTCTGACATTTTAGTCCTTACACAATATCAAAACGTAGTTTTTGTGCTAAATACAAGAATTATTTATTCACAGTGTTCTTTTGAAAACAAGACACTCGTTTTGAACATCTGTGGTTTTTCCATTGTAAACTCATCAACTCATAAATTACGTTAGTTTGTAACCTTTTAGAGCACTTATTTTTTTAAAGGTAGATAACATATTTTAGATGGTAACATATTGTAATGTACAACTACAACGTACGAAGTGTGTGATAGAATAATAAAGCCATCCCCCCTCCCCCCATCTTTTAATTAAAAAAATTCAAACAAAATATTGTATGAAAGTTTTTTTTAGCTTTATACAAAATAACTTTATACAACCTTCCCCAACCTCATCTATTTACCACAGATGGTTCCATGATGTCTGTGTTTTATCACTTTATATCAAGTTTGTATAAACCATATGTATGGTTTTCCATTCAGAAAATGTTTACCTTAAATAAATCTTTAAATTTTTAACAAAAAAAGGCAACAGAGTTATGTATGCTTGTTTCAGTTTATCAGGCACTTCGATCATCGATCTAAACATATGGGATGTAACACACATAAAATTAAATGTTTCCATTTTTCCATATAATTAAACTTTAACTAGCCTCTGTTTTAATTTCTCCAAGTGTCTTAACATATCTTAAATGAACAAACAACCAATAAGTTTGGCTTTGAAAGTCGGCAAATTCCAGAAATTTTTCTTGCATCATGTTTATATACAATATTGAATTGTTATGGTTTTTTGTGAGATTGTCTAGTGTTTCTGCAAGAAACTTATGATTTGCAATGGCCAATTACATTTTATGGCAATTACATTTTTTAGAGGTATACATGTGATGCCTATACATAATGTGACAGAGTTCTAATTGGTGAAACAGTAATGCTGTCAAGTTTTTCAGTTTTATTAACTAGATAAAAAAATCAAATTAAAACTTTTCATTTTGTGTTTTGCCTAGCACATAAATTGCAAATCAGTTTGATATCCTTTACATTTGAGACAATTGATAGTTTAAAATCATGCAGCATAGAACATACAACATCTGACCATTTGTTTCCAACAGTTTCATCATAGCAATAAAAATATAATTTTTGAATTTAAAGTATATTAGTGTTAAAAAATAAAACAGGTATTGTCTGGAATAGTATACATATTGGTTTCAAACGTTTAGGCATTTTTTTTTTTTTTTTTTTTTTTTTTTTTTTTTTTTTGAAATTTTAGCAAATTACTTCACAAATAAAAAGATCAGAATCAGAATATTATTGAGTCCATTTTCTACTTTTTTAGGATACAAAAGGTGCATCTTATGAATTAAAGTTGAAATAATTTTAGAGAAAATTTTTGTCATTATAAAAAATATAATGAAAAATAATGATAAAATATAATGAATTAAAAAAAAGTTGAAATAATTCAAGAGAAAATTTTTGTCATTATAAAAAAAAACTTATTATATATATATATATATATATATATATATATATATATATATATATATATATATATATATATATATATATATATATATATATATATATATATATATATATATATATATATATATATATGTATATATATATATATATATATATATATAAAGTAAGTTTATATATATATATATATATATATATATATATATATATATATATATATATATACCTACATACATACATACATACATACATACATACATACATACATACATACATACATACATACATACATACATACATACATACATATATACATATTAAAATCCAGCTCAATATTTATTTACAACTTAAAAAATAAATTTATCTTTTTTCTGTAAAAAAAATTACTTAAAGTATTATTTCATTTCATTTTTACTCTAAAACATACAAAATTAAATTATTTATTATTTTATTAGTTATTTATTCACTGTTCGTGTTCGGCAAACTTATATGCTAAAGTTTATAAATATAATTAAATTATTTGAATTTGTAAGTTTCCTTTTTCATTAGGTAATTGTTTGTTTGACATCATTGATTGTGTAATTGCAAAAAGTTCGCTCGAATAAGACGAAAAACACGAGTCTTTACAAAAGTTCGCTCGAATAAGACGAAAACGAGTTTTTACAAAAGAGTTGTTCGAATGAAACTATTATTACAAAAGTTTCAATGAGATGAACAAAACTCACGTGATTAAATCAAAAATGGAATAAAAATCACGGTCTTATGGATTCCATTGAAAATTGGGACACTTTATGTTATATTTATTAAGGTACATTTTCTAATAAACGTAATTGTATAGAAAATGGTTCCATGATACATGGCAAGTCATCTTTTCGTGGCCTTATTTACATTTTCTTTTCGTGTCGTTATTTACATTGCTTTACCACGCACGCGCGCTAATTTAAAAGTTTATAAACTGAATAAAATTTTTTTTTTGCATGATAACAAAATTCCATACGAGTGATTACAGTATTTACTTAATGAATTTTTTTTTAGAAGTCTTATTAGAAAATTTTTGAAAACTGTTTGAATATAAAAATTTATTTATTGTATATAAGTAAGGTTAAAAAAAAAAATTATTTATTTATTTAACTTAACTACTTGTATTGTTTTTAAATAAAAACGAAATTTGTTAATTATAGAAAAGGCATCAAATAAAAGAGTTTCTAGGAAACATTTTTAGTTGTCATTTTTTTGCATTTAATTAGTAGCAAAATAATTATAAAACTAAAACTTATTTTTAATGAGAAAACTTATTTTAAAAAAAAGGTTTCACCCCCAGCTGTTTACATTAAGAGTTTTAAATGATAAGCTTGAGTGAGTTTGTTCGACGCAACATGAGAAAGCGGTAAATGAGCAAATTCCCTGGAGGATGCTGCTAAACACTGCACAAAAGACTGGATCTAGTTTGCTAACAATTGTACCACACGCGGTTGCGGTGAAGAATTTTTTATACTTACAGATTACTGTATAAAACAACTATTTAGCAAAGCAAACAAAGCCAACGAAATGAAACAATGAAATAATCCAACGTTGTTGTGAAATCAAACGAACGCAGATGTATGCTCACCAACTACCATGATACTTTTTATATGGTTGTTCTGGATTGTAACACCTGTTAGTGGAAAATCAGGAACGTTTTGTCGATGTGAAACGTATTCCTTCGATGGAAAACCTTTTGTTGCCATATGGAACTCACCAACTATAGGGTATGCTGTAGTTTTTATTCATATGTACTGTTTGTAAGATTCAAAATGCGTTTAAGCGTCCTGATATCTCACGTTCGTTATTGGCGTTTAAAATTAAAATTCTTGAGTGGAGTCTGATTAAATTTAAAGACAACAATGTTCACTCAAATTTATAAGATAAAATAAATATTAATCATGCTTTTTCACGGGTCGTAAAACACGCCATATAGCCATAAACAAGACGTACGACAAACATTTTGTTTTACAACAAACATTTTTGTTGTACGACAAACATTTGTTTTTGGCTAAACAATATTAACATTAACGTTAAATTCGACAAAAATAATATAAATCTAATTAAAAGTCATTGAAAGTAAAAACTTAACTTTCAACTTTTCTTTATGAGAGAGATAATAAAAGTAAAAACTTTTTTATTTCTTTATAAAAGAGATGATAAATTAATTCAACCTTTGTTTATCATACAATAAACACATTTTTTTTTTGTGATTTCACATTTTGTTTGCAAATACTTTATGTTTTTCGTTAATAAATTTATTGGACGTGAAATCAAATACCGAAATTCCAAAAAAAGTTTAATATTTAGAGTTCAATAAATATATGACAACTTTCATTGAGGGTGATTTTTTAAAGAAAGGAAAACGTTGGGTTTTTTTTATATTTAAGACTTTTTGTGTTCGGAAATTTTTTCTATTAATGTGTCAATTTCTGCTAAATTTTACTTTTTATTTCTTTCTTAGTTTATTATCCATCTAGTTCAATATCCATCTAAAAAATGGAAATAAAAAAATAAAAGTATAAAGGTTTTAGATAATTTCTTCTAGTTTAATTTAGAAGGAATTATTAATTTATCTAAAGTATTGGACTCGATCATCTCAGATAAAACAGCATTACGGTATATCAAACTATAACTATAATCTCACTGAAGAAAGAAATATGTGCTTAACGTATCATCCGAATTAATAAATGTCTTATGCAAAATCCTTGGTCAGTTCTATTCTTAATTCATGTTAATGCGTCATTAAAACTGAATTCAACAATGTTTGCTGACGATACTATTTTATTTCTTTTTATCCATCTATATACGGATGTGAATATTGGACTAAATAAAGTAAATATTGGAATATTGTGAATATTGGACTAAAAAAAGTAAAACAAACTTAATATTATGAAATGAATTATACTTTGCTCCATAAAAAACACAAAAATTAAACATGCTTTTTATATTTTCCGATCTATTTTTTTAAATGATTTGCTAATTAATAAGCAAGTCAGTAATAATACTTATTGATAAAAATTTATCCTAGCTTCCCCAAATACATGACACTCAAAAAAATTTCAAAAATTATTGGAGACGCATCGAGTTCGTTCATGTGTTAATAAGCTTTAAATTGATATAAATTGGCCTAATTAACTGTTTCATTAACTACGCCACTACAGGAAGCTAGGATAAATTTTTATCAATAAGTATTAATACGAATTTTATGCAGCAAAGTCGCTTTCCAGATAACCCGAATCATATACCTTCTCTACTCGACATGTCTTGTTTCTGATCTTAGTGCTTAGTCTCTCCACATTCATCCTTAGGTGCTTCTGATTACGGTTTAATCTCTCTAAAACTGTTATCTCATTCTCCTTCATCATCTGAATCCTTCTATTATCTTACCTCTTAACTACCTTAAAGCTGACTGGGACTCTTTCCGTGATTTTCTTCGTAATGGCCATTGGGTAGAAATCCTTCATTTTCCCGCTAACAAATGTGCTTCTTACATAAATTCGTGGATTCAGGCTGGCTTAGAATCTTTTATTCCCTCTCAAAGATTCCAGGTCAAGCATCACTTTTTTCCATGGTTTTCCTCACATTGTGCATCTGCAATTGCCAATCAAAAATAAAACTTTCATATCTATCAGCAAAACAATCCTCCAGAAAACAGATATCTGTTTATTACTGCTAGAAACCATTGTCTAACGCCGAATGGTTTTGTCTAACGCTAAAGCCCGCTATTCTCAGGTGATGAAATCACGTATTTCATCACAAAAATTAGGCTCTCGTAACTTCTGGAGAATCTTTAATAGTATCAATAATAAGGGCAAATTTATTATTCTACATCTCTTGTATAGTTCAGACTTTGTCATCTCACCTGAAGACAAAGCTGAATTGTTCTCTAAGAACTTTTCATCAATATCATCTCTTGATTCCACTAATTGCGTTCTACCTGACATAGCCGTCATACAAATTGATCTATTGCTTGACATTCGTATCATTCCAGCTTCTGTACCTAAATTGGTTTACTGCTTAGACTCTTCTACAATTTGTGGCCCGGAAAACATACCTGTTAAATTCTTGCAGAAGTGTTCTCCGTAGCTTTTTTTATCCTTTCAAAACTATTTAGCAAGTGTTTATCAGAGTCTAGTTTTCCAGCCTGCTGGAAAGCAGTATCTGTTATCCCCATTTTTAAAAAAATCTGGAGAGCGATCGTATTTGTCTAACTACCGTCCTATTAGTCTTCTTCCTATCATAAGCAAGGCTTTTGAATCTTTAATTAACAAACACTTAATCTCTCATCTAATAACTTACTTTCTGATCATCAATATAGATTTCGATCTTCTCGTTCTACAGCTGGTTTGGTAACAATAATAACCGATTGGTTTTATCAGGGAGGTTAAGACCATTGCTCTTGACATTTCTAAAGCTTTTGATAAAGTTTGGCAGGCTAGTCTTCTCCATAAGCTTTATTCTTACGGTGTATCTGGTAACATCTTTAAGATTATTGAATCCTTTATTTCCAATCGTAGTATAAAAATTGTCTTCGACGGGAAGCACTCTTCTTCATATTTTGTAACTTCAGCGGTTCCTCAAGGTTCAATCCTTGGCTCTATACTTTTTTTAATATCCATTAACGATCTTCCAGATATTCTCACATATAAGGTGGCATTGTTTGCTGATGATACTACCACTATTTCTTGTCATGATAAGAAGTCAACACTCTCTGATTGCTTGGAGGGGGCTTGAAAAGAATTTTACTTCTACTACAGCATGGAGCTCACAGTGAAACAGTGATTGGGGAACTTTAGCAGTGGGGAAACAGTGATTGGGGAACTTTAATTCAATTAAAACTCAAATTTTTTCAGCCAATCGTTATCGCAATAATTTAGATCTTCCTATATTTATGAACGGTAATGTTCTCGATGAGTCATTTACAATCCATCTTCTAGGATTAACTCTTACTTTCTATCTCTATTGGAAAACAGAATAGAATCCGTTGCAAAATTAGCATCTGCTAAGGTTGCATCTCTTTATCGAGCTCGACACTTTCTTACTTCAGATTCTATTCTCTATCTTTATAAATCTCAAATCCGGCCTTTTATAGAATACTGTTGCCAATTATGAGGCGGATCTTCTAATGATGCCCTTTCTCTTTTAGACAAGGTGCAAAAACGCATTGTAAACATAGTTGGACCTGCTCTTGCAACCAACTTTAAACCATTATTACGTGGTCGCATGTTGCTTCTCTTTCTCTTTTCTACTAATACTATAATGGGCGCTGCTCTAAAGAGCTAGCGTTTCTTGTGCCATCTAGTAAAATTCATTCTAGTGTTACTCGTCATTCAATTAAATCTTTTTCTGTGACTATTGTGAAAAGTCTTTTTTTGTGATTTTTGCTCCAAAAACTCTTATTCCTTTAGTTTTTTTCTTTGAACAACAGTTCTTTGGAATTTGCCTTCATCTTGCTTTCCTGATTCACATAATTTGCAATCTTTTAAATTGTCTGTCAATCGTTATCTTGCTCTACAATCTTCATCTTTTCTCTTCCAGTAACTTCCAACTCTAATATTGGTTGCTTGCAGCATTGGTAGAAACGAGTTTTTTTTTTTAAATAAAAATTAAAGAATATAAAGACTGGTTTAAAATTGCCGCTACATTTGCATTACTTCGTTGACAAAGTATTTATCCTTAATAATCTTTGTATTTATTCTTAATAATCTTTGTATTTATCCTTAATAATCTTTATATTTATCCTTAATAATGTGTCAAAATTAATAAAAAACAAGTGCTCAGTAATCTGATAAATAAACTTAAATTGTTTTGAATGAGAATGGTAGACATGTCATTGATGAAAATGGTAGGCATGTCATCAGTTTTAATGAAGCAATTGATATAATTATAATGCTGATCTTCCGACAGCGTCTAACTTATTAAAAAATGGATTGTTATAATTTCAAATTTCTAAGCCGTATGATAGATTCGGTACAGTCAGAGGTTTAAACAAATTATTTAAGAGATTTAGAATCAAGACAAAGTTCAATGTTAGCCCTGGCCCTATTTGCATTAACGGTAAGAAAAAAGACGAAAACATCCTAGTTCTATATTTAGTGGCTGACAAAAACGAATTCCAGACTTTATATGAGCTTTTTATGAGCTTTGTTACAAATTTTATATATATTTTTTGTTATATTTTAAAAATACATAAGCATATAACTAGGATGTTTTTCACCTTTTTTTTCTACCGATAATGCAAACAAGACCAGGGCTAGCATTAAACCTTTTGAAATCTTGATTCTAAATCTCTCTAACCACTGGCTGCTCAATTGCTATAAATAATGTTCTGCGTAAAATCTTCGAAAAATCTAAAATGATATTTATATATACTAAACTAAATTTTATTAATATATGCAGTAATTGAAATTGCTTTTATTTGGACAGTTTGTTAACTTTTTTTTGCAATACCTCTCCTTGATGGTAATGTACTTCAGGTGCACTTAAAATAAAGTTTACCGTTCTATTTAATAATAAATTATAAAAATGGCAACATGTGAAATTTAGTTTAGTAAGTTTGTCCACTAGAATTTGATTAGACCTCATGCACCTGTTTGGCCTTTAGGATAACAATAAATGTAAAATAGTGCAGTCTTTTACAGTAATTTATATCCATACCAAATTATTCTTAAATTATACACAGTAGTATTCTTTAGTTATATAAATGCAATATATTTATTTGAAA